TTCATTGGATCGTGGTGAATGGTAAATTGTGATCATTTTTTGAAACTTATTGTAAACTGAATCCGATATTCATGTCATAATTGAAAATTGTTTTCTTCCAGTATACGGAGAACAAATGAGAGTAAGTGCAATTTTATCTAGAGAAGAAAAAGGATTAGCTACTAAAATGTAGAAGATTAAAATATCAACAAGAAATGAGTGCGAATTTAAAAAAAAAAGAGACAGGAGACGCAACAAATGTTCGAACAAATCTAACATCAAGAAGACAACACCGATAGACGGATAAATATACATATATTGATATAAAGCAAAGATCTAAATGGAGATGATACCAAGACGCATCCGTTCAATTTTGTCGATCACTACAATGATATGAAAGTGAAGCTAAAGAATTCGATGAAATGAATCGTTATAAAACAGAAACAAAGTAATAGATTTGTTGACTTACATTTCTGATGTTGTGACATGCCTATGAGTATGTTTCTCTATGTGTCGGAGGGTCCACTTCGAGATATTTCAATTTCATTCACATCAATATATAAGGCATTCTCTTTATCTTCATGAGTAGTTACATGGTATGACGCGGCGTTCTCCGTCACTGTATAACTATCATATTTATCGATGTTTGTTTTGCAACATTTTGCACAACATTTGTACACAACGTTTGAAACGTTTGCCATCAACAATAACAATAATAATATGCCAAGAATACCTATTATAACATAACAAAGTGTCAGCTTCATTTGAATATCATTGACGAGGTTAGGATTAGTTATCATTGTGACTGGTGTTGTAGTTGTTGTTGTTGTTGTTGGTGGTGTCCCCCAACCTAGTGACGGTAACTCGAAGTAACTATTATTCAAATGACCAACCCTGGCTTTGACGGCTGCAATGCTGGATGAGTCATGGTATAGAAGGCTTGCTTGTTCCGTTGGGCTAATTTTATATACCACAAAGGTGAGCGCGCCGGAATGGTACACCAATCTTACAATGGTAGTTGAAATTTTTGACATAGTAATGAATTATGATCTGAAATGGAAAATCATGTATTTATAAGCAACACTGATACATACGTGTTATAGTCACAGCGAACACACAACAACAAATGGTTAATGATTATTTCTAGCAAAAAGGAAGGTGATTCAAGAAAAAAGGTATCTACTCAAAAGAGAATGGAATTTTTGACAAAAAAAAACGTCAATTCTAGTGTTCTGAGTATGTGAAATCTAATCTAAAAGTGTACACATTGGTCTTTGTTCTGTCAATAAAGTATTTAATGAAAACAGATGCTTTCCATTTAATCGTAGTTTCGTACCAATGGATCCTTCCTTTGTATGATTTCTCGTATATGAAGACCAAATCTTTAGAAAATTTTCTTCGAACTGTTTGTAGTGACCATAATCATACATATAATACAAATGATTTCTTGTTGCGCTTCGTTCTAATTCTAAATTAGTATCGAGTAATTTGCATTGTCTTTCTAAATCATTTAATAAACGAGTACGTAATTGTTGATACAACAGGGTATTCAAATGTACTTGATGTGGTGCAATATCGAAATAATTGTAGAAATTTTTTACTTCATTTTCAATGATATTTACCGAATAACCATACGTTAGACAAGCCATTTCCATATAGATGCGTTCTTGATTGAAATCATCATAATTTGAACACAATTGTATAGCGCGAATAAGTGCTGTACGAAACCATTGTTTATGTTTCACTAGTGGTTGACCAGTAACATACGGTAAGATGAGTTTCGAGTGCGACTCAGCTGGTCGATAAACGCATGTATATAAATGACCAAAACAATTTTCAATAAACACATGTAAATAATGAATATAACGATTGCATACGATATCCATATGAATATCATCATATTTTTCTCGAATCGGTTGTAAAAAAGTACGAAGGTCTTCTTCTGATCGATTCCATGTAAAGAATAATTCATCTCTATGTCGAACGATAAATTGTTTTTTCAATTGATCCGCATTCATCATCGTTTGTTGCCATGGGTAAGAAGCTATATGTAATAATAAATCATTAAGACGCATACACTCAGGTAAACCATGAGTTAAACGATAAATATTGCCTTCATAATAGAATATATTGCATTTCAAATATAATTCAATTAAACGTTCTATGGTAACAATCGATATATTTTGAATAGGATGATTTGATAAGTGACTGGTTAACACATAACCAACTCGATCAATGATGGATTGATATGTATACATAGTGGAAAAGTTCTTGATTTTAATTCGTACGAAGAGAGTTCCCGAATGAAGATGACCATCCAGAGTACAATATCGGTAAAGTTTCTGAATAAAGTCACTATCATTATGAACTGTAGTGGATTTGAATAGTGTCATTAGTGTTGGTCGAAGTAATTGTTCAAGAAATTCAGCTAATTTCCATGTTAAACTATGCATCATTGAAAACATTGGTTTTACGTCAAATTCATCTGTCGTTTGAAAAGCAAGATCAGGTAAAAAATATAGATATCCTAGTTTAATTTCATCCGATGTAACACATAAATGATCATAGACGTTTTGAGAAATATATTTCCGTTGGAATAAATTGTTCAATGTTTGATTCAGGTAATTTCTAAGTTTATCTAATTCTAAATGAATATTCACACAATTATCATTTATGGCTGAACATACCAGTTCAAATTGATCATTATTTTTACGTATAAATTCATGACATTTCTCTTCGAAGCTTGCTTTCGTCGTAAGATAAAATAGACTATTATGATCAGCGGTTCGTCGTAACACAAGTTCATTGCTTTTCAACATATGTTGGATGACTTGTATAAGGTGTTGTTCATAGGATGCTCGATGACAAATACGTGGTGGTATCAATGTCGAAAAAGCCATGAGAAATTCATCGTGAACTTTCTGTTGAAGTTCATTGACTTTTTCAATATCGATTGAATATTGTGTACCTAGGTCGGTTAACGTAGTCACTAATGATTGATATTGTTCCGTTAATAATGTGTGCTGTGATAAATAGGATGAAGCTAAACATTGTAATTGACATGGTGGAACATAAGTTGGTCCACGATTTAAGAGTGCTAATTGATCTTTGGTCAGTTGATGTGTGATATTTGAGTCGATGATTAAATGATTTGCGAAAGGTATCGATCGTGTTTTGTCGATGTTTCCTCGATGCATATTTTCTAAGAGATCCAAATGACTACGAATATAATAACTTAGATGAAATTGTAATTTAATTTGAAATTTCTTGTGCATTAATTGTAATCGTTGATCAATAATTTGATAAAAAGATTTACATTGCTGTTCTTGTATTTTGGACCCATCTGAAGTTGCAAACAAAGCAATTTTCTGTTGATCTAAAGTCTTTTCGTAATCGTAGAGACTTTCTTCCAATGCCATAAGACGTATAGCCATGAGATCCGTTTGTGTTCGTTGTATTAAATTTTCATAGTGATATTGAAATTGTTGTCGTTTGGATATGCACTCGAAGTATTCGGGAAGATCAATTGCTAATTGACGATATGAGATGGGCGGTTTTTGATAAAGTATACGATATTGATGAAGTATGAGCTCTTGTTTTATGGTTTCCATCTTCCAAGATGTGTCATACATGCTTCTACCTATTTGTTTCTAGGATGAAAGAAAACTTCTTTTAGAAACAGAAAATTTCAAAAGAAAAACGTTTCATCTTACTTGTTCATCAGTAAATTGTTCATCGTTAGACTGACATTCTAACTGATAATCTTCGTAATCATTATGAAGTAGTACAATATCATAATGACATTTTATTCGATTCGATATGATGCCATATTGTTCGACGAATAGTTGTATGCGTTGTCTTGTAGTTGGCGTAAAGCCTTGTAGTTGATCTTCCTTTGTATTGAAGAGTAATTGATACTGAGCAATTTTTTCTTGATATTCTTGTAAGTGTTTGCGTACGGAGAATTCGCAATCCACATCGATGTCTTCGTTTCTTTGTTGAATCGAGGTGGGTGTAGCCGTAACTAAATGAATGGACGCTTTCACCTGTTTAGACCAAAATCTTCGACCATGATCTGATGCGTTTGTGGTAAATGTGGCATCACACTTCAATTCACCTAAACCGGCTTCTAAATAGCTGTACCATACGTGATGTAATCTCGTATAAAAATCTTTTTGATGTAAGTAGAAACACATTTCACGTAAATCTTCTATATTAACGGACGACGATGTTCCTATAATTCTTGTAATCATGCGTTCAAAGAAGAGATTCTTTTTCGATAAGTACGGTGGCATTGTGTCAGGCTCCAGTCCAAAGACACTTGTAGGTAGAGTGTTACTTTCGTACATAACTGATGTTGTTATATTGAATTCACTCTGTGGTGTAGACATTGTCGATGGCATGGTTAAATCATGTTCCACGGGTGATGAATGAAGTCCGTAGGACAGAATTTCATCTTCCCCATTCACCTGAAACTAAGCGTAGTAGAACATCGTTTTTAAAAATAAGATTAAAAGAAGCGTTTCATTTACTTCAGTATGATGATCATTATTTACAATCGGAACAATATTGGTCAACGTCCACTTTGCATAAAAGATTTGTTCTTCGTCTTCGTCTTCTTCATTGCATTC